AATTAATGTCTCAAGAGTTTCAACAGGTTTCAATGGGCATCAAGAGGTAATAATAAGTACACATAATAAAATCAATGCATTCATTGCTCTTATAACCTCACGTTAATGATCTGTATTCATTTCTTCAAAATCGTCATGTGATTAAAACGTGGGCTTCATTGTATTTTTGTGTGAAGGCACTCACTGGATTGCAGAGGTCATCAAGAACATTTCCAATGCTGGAATTACTCTAACTTCTCCTATTGAATTGGGAGACATTTCCAAATTTGAAGAGCTAAATGAGTATCGTAAGAGAAGTTATTCCAACCCATTTGAGCTACAACATGCTACCAGTGAATATCAAACAAAAACAATGCAAGGTAAGTTCGTCAGTTAAGGGCAGGGGACGGGAGCATCACAAACCTGGCCTTGGATACTTGATCTGCCCCTTTCAAGCTGTGTGACCTTGGGAAATTGCTGATGCTCTCTGAGCCTTTGTTTCCTTATTGGATACAAAAATAAGAGTATCCATCTCATACAGTGTAGCGAAAATTAAATAAGAAAATGCACATATAGGACTCACTACAGTATCCAGCTCATAAGAGTTATTTTAATAGTCTTTTAGTAATGAAAGAAATATATTACATTGGCATGTCAATTATAATACACTGGACACGTCTTATTCTATCCTGAAGCTGGTTTTAGTCTTTTTACTTTTAAACATTGATGCCATTGATGCCTAGGGAAAGAAAAATTGCCCTGATTTTATTTTAATTATTTTATCTATTATTTTTGCAAAGGATTCTATAGGAAAAGAGGAAAAACATAAATGTATGTGAAACACTAAAGAACAGGTACTCGAAGTTATTTTTAAAGCACACACATTATTACATTGAAAGTTAATTGGAATTGAAAAGAATATTTTCTATTTTCATATGATTCTTACTCAAATTTGTTTTCATGGAGGAGTGCTTATGGAATAAGGTTAAGAAGTACAAAGCATGTCTTGAATCCATATGTACTAAATAATTGCAATTCAATTAAATAAACATTTACACCCATTCAAAAAAAGGACTAGATGTAAATTTATCGAAATGCCAAGTGGTTTTCTATGGTATGGCATTAGGGCTGGATTTTATTTTCTTTGCTGATGTCTGTATAAGGAGCATTTTAAGATTCTGTTTTGATCTGAAAAAAAGGAATAATACTTGAAAAACAAAGGCAAGATACATGTGTCTCTTGTAACAAATTCCCAGTAATGATGCTGCTTTAAACAATGTCAGTCATATTCTAAAAATAAAAACAAAAATAACCTACCAGTCAAATGTGCAAAGATGGAAGCAGAACTTTCTATGACTGTAACTCTATGACCATTACATCTCCACACATACCGTCTACTCTTCTGCTCAAGTAAAAGTAAACCAGAGGCAAAGGTCATAGAGTTTTGCCTGTGTCCCCAGCAAATCTATCAGAACAGGTGAAGGTGTGCTAACTTGATCACACCTTCACTCAACCAAGTATTTTCATTGCAAACAGACTTGTCTCTAAGACAGAGACAGATTTGGGGAGAAAGGAGTCTAGCAAACAATAACCCTTACTCAGGGCAGTACCAATGAAAATAGATGACTTCCAGAGATTAAGCTGTGTTTTATAACTATATTGTAACAATAAGAATACCTACTTTTCCTTTTATAAAGAAACTAAAGCTGAGAGAGGTTAAGGTGCTTCCTGTAACCACCACACTAAGGGTACCGCCTTGAGGTACAATCCTTTCCTTGTGACTCCTAATGGGAACTGAGATTCCCTGGTTGTCCCTGGTCTCCCAGGGTAACGACATCTTCTGCTGTTGATGGCCTGGCCCTGCGAGCTAAGGGACTGGACAAGCCTTACTGTGCCAGAGGGGCCTATCAATCTCTCCTGCCAGCTTTCAACCCTACTTGGCTGCCTATACTTTTCTTCCCAATCTTTGTCTCTTCTTTTCTATGTTTCCAAATTCTCTTATGTGAAATCCATGTTTTCAGCTCATTTCATAATATTTAGTTAATGGTTTATGTTTTTTCCAGAGTACCATTTTGCCCTCTCTCCACATCCCTCAATCTCTCCCAAATATGTGTTACAACTTCTTAAAATGCATCCTTTTATTGTGTTTTTAAATAGCATAATTGACATAATAACATTATGTTAGTTACAGTTGTACACCGTAATGATTGGATAGTTGTACATATTGTAAAATGATCACCACAATAAGCCTACTTAGCATTTGTCACCATACATAGTTACACATTCCATTCTTGTGACCTCTTTTGGTAAAGTGTGTATTAATGGTTTCTGATGACTTCCCCACTCGATAATACTGACCTATAATTCTGAGGGTCTCCGAGGGCCCTAGAATACTCTTCTTTCTACCAAAAACAGTTCTCTAACTGGATGGCTAAGGTTGAACATTCTATCATTGTATCCTTTTTTGTTAAGGAAGTGATTTTTAAACTGTGCTCTCTGAGGCTTGGGGTTCTGTGAATCTGCTCAGGAAGCTGGGAGCAGGTAGAGAAAGCCTGAGGTGCTGGGTTACTCCACAAGGCTCTCTTGGGATGGAGAGAGGATAACGGGGGAGCTGAGGGGGCCCTTTGTTCCTGTGCCGAGTGGCCTTTGCACATGTCTCCAGTAAAGAGAAGCAGGGGTTGCTCATGTGGGTCACACACAGCTCCTGGAATATGAACACCATATAGAAAGATATTTATGTATGAAAATGACTCAGTGAAACCTTTCTTGCCTGGGTAAAACGTGTCAGCCTGATTGTCAATTTAAAAAAGTGAGTTAAACATCTGGTACTCATGCAATGTTGACTTTGATTGAAAACAGTCCTATGAATATCCAGCTTCCTGCCCTGATGTCCTGAGGTTCTTACATACCCCTAGGGCACTGTATACCTCCCTACTAAACCCTCATAACACGGCATTGTCAAGACCATCTTTAATGACCCACTTCTCTCACCTGACTGTAAGCTTTGAGAGGGCTGGAACCGTTGCTCTCTTGCCCATCATTATTTTCCTTGAATCTGGAATGTTGCCTGGCATATAGTAGGTACTAAATAAATACTGAATCGAACTAAATTGCAGTTGCAGTGTTCATATAAATTGAAAGGGTATCTCAGATCCCCTACTCTTTGGGTGATAAAATTGTAGAAACAGGAAATTCCAGAACATCATTCCTCCTAATAAATAAGAATAGACAATTTTAAGAAATCTTACTGTATGTATATCATGTTTTATAATAAATGGGTATTAAAAAGGTGATCTTGCCCTAGAAGTGAGCAGGGGTTTCTCATGCCTGACCCTAAAAAAGGTGGGATCAAATTTAGCCATGGATTGAAAAAGTGTGGTCGGTGGGCTGGTAGCTTCAACAATCATCTGGGAGCTTGTTAGAAACATCGGATGCTCTTCCTTTGAATGAGATCCCCTGATGATTCCCATGCACATCAAGTTTTGAGAAACGCTGGCCTGTGTCGGTGTTAATAACCAGCTCAGCTGCCCCAAACCCGTGGCTTGCCCAGGTAAGTTTGGCTGCTGCTTTCATTTAGGAAATGTTTGGTCCTGGGGCTCTTTCCAGCCAAACTAAATTTATTCTCTTTGAGGCAGATGATCTACATCATTAGGAATCCAAAAGATACAGCCGTTTCTCTGTTCCACTACTACAGAGACAACCCCAATCTCCCTGGCATAGAAACCTGGCCTGCGTTTTTAGAGCTGTTCCTGAGAGGAGACGGTAAATATGTCAATGATTGTTATTCAGAATATACAAGTACCTTTCTGCTCAAAATGAAAGCATTTTCCAAAAGTTTCACATGACCCTTAACTTTCAGAAATACCTTTGCATAGATGGCTCTGTGCTTCTAAGCCGTTCTCTCTCAGTTTGCTTCTTCCCAGGCTTTCCAACCAGGGTGGGGGCAGTACAGATGGGCAGGCGCAGTGTGGGGAGGTGCAGCTAAAGCCTGCTGGCCACACGCAAGGTGCCTTATAGATATACCTGCAGGGAAAATGAAACGGTGCAAACAGTGTGCCCACAAAAAAACAAAATTCCCCAAATACACCAAGTGTGAAAGAATTAGGCATCTTGATGCTTGGTTTAATAAAAAAATAACAAAGTAATTTATCCTGAAAACACCATGACATGTGGTTAGATGAAGGTGTGCAGTACACGTTGGTCCTGCTACCATGCATGATCTTTGCATTTATTCCATTTTTCCTGACTCAGTGATGTCTGGAACACTTTTAAAAAATTCTGAATTCCCAAGCCTTCCATGAAACAAAAAGACTATTCCAAGACAATACAGAATTTAGAAGAGACATGATTTAGTAATGGGATATTATTCCCAGAGAATCCCATCTCTCACTAGAGTACATCTTAGTTGCTGGTTCACTATTTTACGTGCAAATAGCTGTTTTCACTTGTTAATTTAAAAGAGGCTGCAGCAAGTGTAACCTTAGTGTGAGGACAGTGGGAGCTCAGGATTTAACCAGCAACAGGATTTAATATTTTGTTTTGCTGTTTTCACTGTGGGAGGATATGCTGTGCTCACATTATTTCAACTCCTCTTTCTGTTCTCCTCCTTAGGTAATGGCACACATTTAGCAGAATCATAAAGTTTGAGGAATGACAGGTCCATTAAAGGTCGTGTGGTTGAAACACCGACCTGTTTAAATCACTTTTACAACATCTCCAAGAATTGCAGAGGCTAAACTTGAACTGTCAAACTGTAGCAACAGGTTCCCACCCCCAACTCCTGCCCCAAAGCAGCACTTCCCCTCCTGGTACTGCTGACATGTTAGAAAAAAAAAAACCTTACCGTGTGACACAGACACTTAGTTAAATGCTCTGCTAACATGATCTCATTTTCTTCTCGTGAGAACACGCGAGGTGGATGTTACTATCCTCACTTTGCAGGTGAGCAAAGTGCAGACCTTGAGAGGCCAAATAACTTGTGCACAGATGTGTAACTAATAAGGAGCAGAGCTGAGATTTACACTCAGGTGTCAGCTCCCAAATCTTTGCTCTTACCACATTGTGCCATAACACACCCAGCAAAAAACTGTCCCCCTGATCATTAATCCCTCTTCCACATGAGAGCCTTCTAAATATTTGAAGATGGTCAGCATGCCTCACTCTGCCTCAATTCCATTTTTGGAATAAGCAGAGTTTAAACGTACAAATTATTTTTTTAAAAGAAGATCTTGAGCCTGCTTTTCCTCAAGAAAAGAAACACTGCGTTCATCTCCAGTTATTAGCGCTGTGGTTTGCCGCCCCTCTCTCGCACTGGCATGAGCTCTGATTCGGCTCCGTTTCTGTTACTCTGCACAGTGTCCAGAAGGCAGAGATCCTCTGGGGGTGAGGGCACCACGGCTGGGTGCAGCAGGCCTCTTACTGCTCCGCTTCGAGAGGCTATTTGTGAGTGAGTTGCGAAAAGGCACCCAGGCCATCCGCAGGAATGCAAACTAGCTGTCCTGGAGTCTCTGCCTTTGCGACCCACCACACTGTCGGGAGTTGCAGCAGAACGTCTGGGAAGGGCCTGGTGTGGTTGGAAAAAGAATTCCAGATGATTTTGTCCACCTTCGTCAGTGAGTTAATAGATCTGTAATAGTGAAAGGATTTGATTTGATTACCTGCAACCAGGTAATCCAGCCTGGGGATGCTCGTCTACACCAGGACTAGTCATCTAATGACTAAAGCTTTTTTTATTTACTTGGGTGGGAGCAATAGCTTCAGTTTTTACCCTTTATAGGCCATGGTGGTTTGGTTTCCTGTGTGCATGTGATATGTATGTGACTGTGTTTAGGGGTGGTCTTCAGTGGTTTTTTTGAGAGGAAGATTATTTCTCTTGCAAATGACAATATGATACAGTAGAAAGAACAGGACAGAGGAAATGATTCCAAGTCCTGACTTTACAATTTACTCCTGTGTGGCTTTGGGCAAGTAGCTTAACCATCTGAGGTCCAGGCCCCTAATATGAAATAGGACTGATTAAACTATCTATTTTGTAGAATTATTTAGAACTTCAAATTAAGTAATAGGTAAAATTTGCTATAGAAATTTATGTACTTTTTCTATTAGACATGGTCTTATAAAGACACACACAAAGACTTCTAAATAGTTTCACATTAGGTTGGAACTGTTACAAGTAGATATTTATCTAGAAAGATTATTGTACAACTGAGGCATCATGATATCCTGTATCCATCTCCAAACCATAGACATAAATACACATTATTTGACAAGACAATATAATAAACAGCTACACATTTATCTAATCATCCAATTTATCTTTCAGATAGTTTAAAAATACATTTTAGGTTTTCAAATGAAATAACAACTATAAATTGTGTTGTGGAAATGTCTTGACAGATTAATATCTCAATGAAATAATATCTTAGCATTTTACTCTTTTTTTCCTATAGCTCCTCTCAAGGTTTACAGAACTCCATTTCCTAGGCCACTTCACCAAAGCGAGTTTTGTTTTCTGCACAATTATCTACAATGAGAGTGCTTTCTAGAAACTAGAAATTAATATGCTTATTAAAACTGGATATGGGAGCAGGGCTGAGGGTTTGCAGAAAGTGTGGGAGGTTTGAAGTAGCTGATATGAAGTCTAGGAAAATGTATCAGTGCAGGACAATTAGGTTTTCCAGTCAGCCTTGGGGCCCTTAAGACTGGAAAATGAATTTGCAGTGGTATAAATACAGGGTTGTGTAAATTTCTTCCACAGAACTCAGCAGCAATGGACAATAAGAAAAGAAGTTGAAGGGTTTTGATTCAATAATGGGTGTTTTCCAGGTGGTTGGAAAAAACAGTAAGGGGGCAGGAATTGAAGTATTGGCAAAAAAACCAACCAAACAAACAAACAAAAAAACCCGAGGGGCTGAATAAGGGGAAGAAAGTGAAGAGAGGACAGAAATGGTCCCAGCAGGGTTTTGTAGAAGGTAAAGCTAACCTTAAAAATAAAGCTGTCAATTATTGTACCATCAAAAATGGGTTTCTTCAGGAATAGTGGAGAATTACAATTTGGGACATGCAAGCTACCTCAAAGACACAGGCAACTTGGGAGAAGAAGAGAACTGCTCTTTTATAGAGAAAAGTGGCGTCTTAGGAGGGACTGTTATGGGGGCAGAAAAATAAAAATCCACTATAATGGATTTTTAGTAAACTGGGAGTTTGAAGTATAGTAGCTTCTCATTGGCTGGCTTGTGGCAGTGTCTCATTGGCTGGGCTGTTGCCAGGGGCGGAGGAAATCTTCTGTCTTCCACTGGGTAGTAAAGCTGTAGGTCTCTAAAGCCCTGTCACCTTGCAAGGTCTCTGTCCCATGCGTTTGCAACTGAGGGACAATGAGATTCCCCTTCATTAATTTTAACACTGTCCATTAAATCACTCCAGTTGGTGGACACGACCTGAGATGGCAGAAGATTGTGATCTAAAACCAGTCTTCAGTGGCTGTAGGGGAGAGATCAAAAGGTTGATTTCCGACTGAGACAAGGATGGAAGAGTGGCTTATTCAAAGGATGTGAGTCTTAAAGGGGCCTGGATTCTATAGGAAGGGTTCTGAAAGTTGGCAGGAAGCAGTGAGATAAGCTGACATAGTCTGCAGATCCTAAGACTGAAAAGGGATCAGGCTGAAAAAGGGACAGGAGGTGGTGGAATAATTCTGTATTATGTGAAGGATGTGGAGAACATCATTTTGCATCAAAGGAAGGTTTCAGCTCAGTTCTGGAAGCTATAATTTCTTTAAAGCCATAGGTATACTAGTAACTTGGACACGTATTCTGATTTAAAAAATTAACCGAAACTGTAATTTTCTATATCAGTAAGGAAGGCAAAGGCAGTCTTTACGGTTTTTCTGATGTCTTTAGATTTTTTTTGGCTGGCTTAAATCCTTTTGGAACAAGTAGAGTGTAAATTAAGTGGTCAATAATAGAACAGCTGGCTCTCAAACTATGATCAGGCTATGATCCAAAAGTTTATTCTTAAGTCTATTTGAGGTACGTTGGAATACATTTTCTACTGAAAAACCGTAATGGGCAAGGTCAACTACAACTAACCACCAGGTATGACACTGGGTCTCCATCCATGCCCTGCCTCCAGGCCACAGAGTTCAGCATCCCTGACAGCACTGACATCATCCACAGGGGCTGGGCTGTGGCTGCTGAGGGGAGGTGGCAAGGTGAGTTGAGACTGTGAGCATAGTCTGGGGTACTAGAGATGAGTTAACTTCCTAAATTTGTGTGAGAGAAAATCGGTCATCCTACCACATCCGTGTGCCTGGGAAAATGGTTGGCCATTCTTTGAAGATAAATCCCTCATCATAGATTTGGTAATTTGGGTAATTCTAAGATAAATCATTATGTAAGTCATTGAAATAACAATGAGATAACTGATAACTGAAGCCTGTATAAGGGCAGCATTTCTAAGCACCAGTTCTAATTATATAGCCTCCGGGCCCATGGGGTAAAATATTGGGCTGACTCTGTAATGATATCATGTAGTCCAGAAATTCTTGTTTTAATACATTATGGCTATTTTCTTTCCCTTTGCTTCCTCGGGAGGTGAAGCCATGAAAAATTGCCATTCATTTGGAGTTGATAATACTTCAATTTATTCTAAGCTTTAATGTTCAAAATGTATTTAGCACAATGTCTGGTAGACACTAATGGCTTAATAAATGTTTACTAAATGAATTAATAGCTAGCAGATCTTCATGAAATTGCAAGTAGAGTAGCTCTTATGATTGGGGCATTAGCTAGTATTAAGTTTTAGGATGATAAAGGATGCTTAGAAAGATGTCTCTCTACTGTTTTAAATTTCTCTGTTTCGTGCTTTAGGTTGTTAAACTAGTCAATTTTCTGTGGTGGCTTACTTTTTGTCTTTAAGTATCACTGCTGTAAGGGTTATTTTGCATGATAATATTTTACTTTTAAGCCCTGGAGATTTAAAAAAAATCTGTCCAATTAGCAAAACGATGAAGAGGTAATAACTATTAAAAACTCCCTAAGACTGTATTTTTCAGCCTTGAACTAAGATAAGTGAATAGATTTTTTTTGGAGGATGTTTATAAATATTTTATATATGAATTTACAATTATGAAAAGCATGTCACCTTACAGGAAGAAAGTGATATATTCTCAGTTTCTCCCAAGATCCAAAGTGATTATCAGAACACAAGTATTGGGCAAATGTGTATTTCTGTGTTTCCGCTGTCACTTCTGATGATAAAAAATATTTACTAGAAATAAGGAAAAGACACCACAATCTTATTAAAAGATTGTGCCATTGTAGGGTCCAAGGGCAGGCTGCCCCCAGATGTACCACTTCGACTTGCAGAGTATATTGAGCTGAAAACAGTCAAGACCTAACAGAGTCAGAAAGAACCTTGGATCTCTGCCTCTACCTGCGTAAAAGAATTCAGATAGAAGACCTGCTCTAGGAAGAGAGCTATCATCCTAGATAAATCTACTAGCAGGCATTTAGTAAGGTCTGTTTTATTAAGCTCCTCTCCAAGGTCCTGTTCCTTCTGTGTGGCCCAGCAAACATTTGTCTGCCAAACATTTACTCTTTTTCATAGTCCTTTGAATTGCCTTTCTCTTTGAGCTCCCGGACCCCTAATTCCCTTCTTAGTTCAGGATGACATATATATATATATCCAAGTTGATTCTTAGACCAGCTGGGAGAACCTTGAAGCACAGAGGAAAATTTTTCCTTCCCAACACCATTCAGCTTCATTTTCTCAATATTGTATTTTGTTGAAACAATTGTGAAAATGGAGCTTTTCTAAGGAAAACTCTCTCTCTCCTGAGTCTAGTATGTGTGTACCTTACTCTGACGACTTCACCAACATGGGGAAAACACAGGGAAGTAGAGCCTTAATGTTTAATATTAACACAAAATTCACCTTTCTTACAGTTGTGTATGGATCCTGGTTTGATCACGTTTTAAGCTGGGAAGAGCACAAACATGATAAAAATATTCTAACTATGTTCTATGAAGAAATGAAGAAAGTAAGTCCTTCCTAACATTTCAATAATCAAAATTTAAGTCAAATTGATTAAAACAGGAAATCAATCCATGAATTCTGTTTTTAGGTTTTAGGGAATGAATTTCATGTTTTGATGAGTTATGTTTTCTAAAAATATTTCTTTGCTTATTGCTCAGGACCTTTCTAAAAGCATAAAGAAAATTACTACTTTCCTCAATATAAATGTGAGTGATGATGAAATTGATAAGATTGCTTGGAAAACATCATTCAGTGAAATGAAAAATAATGCAGCCAAAGAAAACAGTGATTCAAATCATACCATCTGTGCCCTCACATGTAATAGGAACCTGGTATTTAGGAAAGGTAAGTCAGAAAGAGATGTGGTGCTTTGCCTAGAGCTTATATTTGGAAGCAATTTCATTTTATCATTATTAACCTCTCATTTCACAATTTGTGCACCCCATACCTTGCACAATGGATTGCACTTTCATCCCTCTGTAAATATTTGTTAAATGAAATTCTTGGACCAAATTCTTTTAAGACATGAAGATTTTCATGTCCGGTTAGGAACCAGTTGAGAGAAAGACACAGGTGTCAAGCAGATGGAAATAATAAAGCTTTTTGAAGAATGTGTCTCAGGTCTGCAGCCTAGGGCATTTGCTAATAACTTACCCTGAATTTTACAAACATTCTCACTCAGTCACATACAATCAAATGTACTTCGGTCCCCACAACTGAGGCAGCCACTTAGAACATGGTGGAGAGTGGTACATAATACGTGTTTTCTTCAGGAAAGAGAAAGAGCTAATGAATGTGGACAGTGCATTTTCCCAAACCCACCAATCAAATAATTCTCTGCAGAAGTAAGAGGTGGAAAGAGAATCTGGGACTGTTATCTAAAGATGTTCCTCTGCATGGAAACATGAAGGAAATAAGTATTTTCCACTAATTCTTAATGTTTAACTTAGAAGCAGGTTGGGAGCATCTGGATACAGAATTGTTCTGAAATCCATGGGGATTTTAATCCAGATCAGGGGGGAAAATATTTTCAAATTTATCAAAACTTACAAAGACAAAATTTTTGGCATTTATGTACTCAGGTTTCTTGCTGAAAAACACTTATTTCCATTTTTTGGCTCCACTGAATATGATTCCTCCTAAAACAAACATTTGCCAACCTGAATAGATCAGATATTGGCTTAACTTTGCAAATTATTTTGTCTTGTTGGTTCATCTTTTACTTCCTTGTGGTCACAAAACCAGGGCTGGGAGGGAGGAGAGAATTTATTTCAGCAAATATTTATTAATAAACTATTTTCTAAGAACCAAGATTCAACAATTGAATAAAATACAGTCCAGCCCTTCAAAAGACCATTATCTAGACCATAATACTAACTGATAACAGCTATACTGTAGTATGAGCAAACATGAATGAATAACAAGAATAAGGGAGAGAGAATTTTCTCCTAGGAAAGTAGGTGAGGAGGTCACATTGGATATGGGACTGTAAACACGAGCAAGATTGTGCCGGGAAAATGACAGGGAAGAAATGCATTCCAGCAAGTTAGCAAGAAGAAAGGCTTAGAACCACCATGGAACTGGATGGTATTTTCTAGACGGAGCATGCCAGCCAATTTGTTAGCCGTGTCTGCTGGGTATAGTTTCTTGATTTTTTTTCTTCTTTTGCTTATGTGCATATGTAATTACTATATTATTTTTTAAAAGAATTTTTCTTAAAAAAGTAAAAGAAAATGTGAAAGAATAAATCAGAAACCAAGCAAACAAAAGCAGGTCAAATGAAAGGAGACAGTAAAGGTTCAGGTGAACTGATACCGGAAGCTGGGAGGGGGAACCAGGAAAGACTAAAGAAGACTGATAAGTAACACTGATAACATTAATCATGGGTCAGGCACTTTGACCTCAGGAAGTTGACCTTGTGCCCCAGTTAGAAGCGATGTCATTTCTTGACTCTGGGATCTTCCTTCTGGTACTATTTCCTTTCCTTCCCCTTGCAAACAAAAGAGTTTGACGTTACTTCTTCTTCAATTCATCTTTTGGACTATAAATCAACAACATAAAAAATTTCTTAGGTTGCAATATATTTCTTTTCTGTAGGTGACATTGTCTGACATTCCATCAAACCACAGGTTTTCTTGCATACCCACTCTAAAGTCATCACTAGATTGGGTATGGTGAGATTATACATGGACAAAACATCATAGTCCCTGACTTGGAGGAGTTGTAAGCTAACTGGGAGGAAAAGATAATAGAAAACAATATGAGACAGTCTATAATGGAGGGATAAAATAATGCATCACTGGCTCTTGTGCACTAAGACCCCAGGGATGAAGACTGGGGCCAGAAGTGGCAAAGACCATGGTGGACAAATTCCAGGGTTGGGTGTGGCAGAGTGTGTGGAATGGATGAGGGGTTGACACATGGCCAAGACTGACAAGGTGGCCTGTAAGATCAGGAAAGGCTGATGGATTGTATGAAGTATAATGTCTTATTTTGATCTCCAAACTCCTTATATTGAAGGTGAGGACTGCATGCAAGTAACTTGGTGATTATATTTTCAGATCTCTATTACCAATATGGTACAATACATTTCCTTAAAATGGGACCAGTTGCTACCCTGTGGCGTGTTATCAGCACAGCCACTGCTGTGGAGGTGCACAGACAGGGAAATAAATAAATGAAGCATCATCATGTCCACTTCATCTGCTTTATGCTTGGATTAAGTTTCTTGCTCACATCGTACTTATAATACCTAGGATGTTTAAATATTTTTCATTTGCTTTCTTTTTAAGGAATAACTTTTTGAGCTGCACAAATTAATATGTAACCATTACTGAGGAAGTTAGAAACAGCAGATAAACAAATAGAACACAATGATCCCCCATCATTTATCAGCAAGAGATAAAATTGTTCACATTTTATTAAGAATCAGATTTCTTTTGTGAATACTGTACATTTAAATGGGTTCTTGTCTGATACGTTTTGAACTTTTACAGGAGCAGTGGGTGACTGGATAAACTACTTTACTTCAAAGCAGAAGAGAGTTTTTGATGAACTATTCAGTGAGAAAATGAAACACAGTGAACTGGCAAGACACTTTGAAGATTCCTCTATATAAATGGGAAATGAAACCAATTTCCATTTTATGCAGTGCAGGGCTTGGGGAATACATAAATATTTTTCACCAGTATTGAAAACAGATACTTCCTTCAGTGAAAAATGGACACTTTATGAATGTACCAAAAGTGTCATGTGTGAAAACTATTATCATGCTTGGTGATAGCAGAGAATTATTAATCAAAGGAAGTGTACAATTTTTGAATGGCTAAATTACATATCTGCTTTCAAGATATTCATAAGGCAAGGAGATTACTTCTATTCAGAGAAAGCCTTCCTGTGGATGGTCTACAAACTACTAATATACAACAAAACACGTGAGGATTATCTAAAATAACATGTCTGAAAAGAATCTATTTTCTGCCTTTTTGGACTATCATGACCTCTAGACAAACATTTTTATTTCAACATTCCCTGGTGTCTGTGTAGAAATGTTCTCCAGTGTCATAACAATGACAAGCATAATCTTACTAATGTGGAAACGCCTAATAGGTAGATTATATCAAATCATCACAGTATATTAGTGAAAATGAAAAATGAAGAAATACTTTTTCATATTAAATTAACACTGGCATGGCACTCCAGTATTTTCTTTATTTTTAATAGAATCAGTTAAATTACAAATTTTCTTATTTTCCAGTTTTGAAAAGTATACTTTTCCTTGAAGTGTTTATGATTTTTTTACTGTATTTTAAATATGTATTCTTTCTCCCAGTAGCATTTCTAGCATTAATCCAATCTCTATAATTTTCTCTCTCCTGTAATGAATATTATTCTGTAGGTTTAGCCTAGAGGATAGTGTAATGAAATTTTAGTGAACTTATTTTAGAATTATTACCTAAGTTATGAACATCTATAACACATTGTTTATGTCTGTGCCATAATATCTAACCCAAGGCTTAGTGAGAAATCAAAATTGTGTATCATATATGACTCTGATATATGATATCAGAACTCAAGGAAAAGGGTTTAGTGAGTTAATTCAACCAGACAGTTTGATTCTGTACCTCCATATATTGTGAATCTTATTTTTAGTAAAAAAATCTGTTGGAAATTCTTATCAAGTTTATCACAATTCAGTATTAGATCTTCATATATCTTCTGTATGTACCTATTTGTTATGAATAAAATGTATACTTGTTGACTTCATGCAATTCAGATTTTTTCCTTCAAAATTAACATTTTACTATTTACTATGATATCTCCCTGCCCTAATAGGTGAGGTGAGAGAATGAGAAAGGCAGTCAGGTGTGGTTTCATGCTAGTTGCAGGTTTTTCCACACGGGAGTGAGACTTTTGGACAGATACTCTTACAAGATCACCCTGACCACTAGCTGAAGGACTGTCCTAGACATGGAGGTGCAGGGACAAAGGGCTTTTTCAGTGGTGTAGGTGAGAGAAGTTAGTGAATGAAAAAGGCAATCAGGTGTGGTCTTTAGGTCCTCATCTTCATGTTGGAGCTGTCTCCGTGGTATTGATGTGCAGAGCGGCAATGCCTGCAGTATAGTGTTTACGGCACCAAGTCCTAGGAGGCTGTATCGTCTCACAGCATGCAAATATCATTAAGACTGAAAGAACTAAAATCGGATTTTATCTGATGACATTATAGTATCTTAAATCTGTGAGGTACTTGTGGGATCATTGAAACACAGTTTTGATAGGAAATTAAAGAAGATCAATCATCTAAACGTGTAACATGGAAATGGTGACAAATGGCCAGTTTCAGGATTTAATATGGATAGTGAGCCATCTAATCTACTAATATGGAGGGAGAGATGAAGCCTAGATTTTTGACTCACCAACTGACTATCAGAGGGTACCATTTATTTAGATGCCAAGGCTTGGCAGGAGAATTACTTTGGTGGTGGGTGGTGATGGGCTATGGATCAAGGCTTCTGCTATGGTCATGCAGCTTGAAATGTCTATTAGACACCAGGGAACTGGTTGGAGAGAAGAATCCCTCCACTGACTACTGTGCTGTTCCTTGGGGCCCAGAGGGAAGGTTCAAGAAAGGGGAGGTGGGGCGGTTGAGCCAGTTTAGAAGACTTGCAGAGCGTCTGTGCGATGATGGCAATGTCTGGGGAGGTGCTGCAGACTAATTGCCCTAATAGCCAAGCGCATGTGGGTTTTCCTCTTTCCAAGAAAGTTCCGGATCTCTCCCCCTGAACTCTGCTTTTTCACTTCCTTGGAGCTGACAAAACAACTTACAGATGCATTTCCTCATCCCAACTGCCTCCCACCACTCCCCTTTTGATTCCCCATCACCTGTTTTTCACTCTTTTTCCTCCTTCACTTCTCTGCCCTGCCCCCTCCTCTCTGTAGTTACTAAGTAACTGCTAATCCTAACGACTCTCCTAAGCTCCCATTGGATGCACTTCCTCACTTCCACTTACTTGTTTCTGCCTTGAATGCATTTCACCCCATACCCGGTTTAACACCAGGTCCAGGAGGCCTGCTCTGATTCTCCATGTTCCCAACCTAAAGTGCTTTTCATTTTTCCCTGACTGGCCTTCCGGTGATTCTTCACTTGTATATATATATATTTTTTTTGAATATTTTTTTATTAAAGTGTCATTGATTACAATCTTACATTGGTTACAAATATACAACAGTGGTTCGACAGTTACCGATATTATTATCTAGTGTGGTCACTATCAGTGCAGTAAGATGTTACAGAATCTTTGACCATATTCTCCATGCTGTACTACCATCCCCATCAGCATTGTGATTGCAAATTATTGTGCCCCTTTATCCCACGCCCCCTCCCCTTCCCCCTCACCCCTGCCAACCCCTCCACTTTGGTAACCACTAGTCCCTTCTCCATGTCTATGAGCCTACTGCTCTTTTGTTCCTTCTGTTTTGCTTTTATACCCCACAAATAAGTGAGATCATTTGGTATTTGTCTTTCTCCACCTGGCTTATTCACAGAGCACAGTACCCTCTAGATCTATCCATATTGTTGCATTCCTTCACTTATATTTTCCTTTCCACACTTAACCATTGGGCCTTGTCTCCTTTCTAGTTTGTAGGTTCTTGCCAGTTAGAGCATGTCCTGTTCATTTCTGTATCCTCCACCTTACCTAGTCCAGGACAGCACTCATAACGGATGCTTAATAAATGTTGGTTGTGAATTGAGTTCATGGATCAGTTGAATTCTATGTTTTCCAGAAAACTCAGCTCCAATACCATCACCCACTTTGATCCTATTTCTGTATTCTCTTACTTCATGTCTACATTAGTCAATTCTCTTTTTCAACCTAACCATGTATTTCCTTCTAACTACTTAACTAGTTCCATTATGCAAGTCTTTCCTTCCCAACTTCATTATGTGCGTACAGAGAGTTTGTAGGAGGCTTCTTCAGTGACTGATGCAGTGTATTGCCCTCAAATTGTTCAAAAAGTTGTGTTGAATGGAAGAATAAATTAATGGATGGGTGATTGAAAGAATGAATGAACACATTCCTATCTGCCTGCCATTCAGCTTCCTGGTCCTGTGGGCATGAATGCTTGGGGTCATATTTAACTCTTTGCTTTTTCTTCTATTTTCCAAATCAAACCAGTCACAAAATACGATTGATTCTTGCTTTTCAACACCTCTTAATCCTTCCTGTGTGTAATGAATGAATTTATCAATCTTCATTCAAACATAAATGTAAGCAAAGATCAACTACCAATGATAAGAATAGCTTGTAGCTATCACCTAAGTAAATCCGTTGGAGTGGTCTGTGGGGGTGCATACAGTGTGTGCATAATTTTAAACTTTCCCAATTTTTTTTGTAGTTTCTCCTTATAATGTGTAAGATTATAAAATAGAAATACTCTTTGTCTTTAAGCAGCTCATTTACACAGTTACAAATATTAATTAAAGTTAGGTCATTGAAAATTGGTGTCAAAGAGGAATAATGTAGCATCTAAATAAAGATCACTTTGATTTTATTTATTTTTAACTTTAGTTTAATAAAAGAATTGTTGATCCTTTCTCTAAATGCACAGGTACAGACCTAGAAGGAATTTTCTAAGGACTTAGCAGAGGAGGAAGTAGGAAATTTTGGATGAAAGCTGCATGAAACATGAGTAAATAAGGAATCACCAATCCACCTAGCAGCCCCTCCCCCTGAGCTGCCAATTAGGAAACTACAGGGAAACACTGTGTGTGCCCCATTTATGTAAGGACAGTTTCAATTATTACCTTTCTGAAGTGTGAGGAGCATAACCTCAATCCATAACTAAACAGATTTGGGTAAATAAGTTTGGGAATTTTTTTGTTCATTTGTGATATAATCATGAGCTTAAAATCACCATGGTTATTGGTATATACCTATTATGGTTTACTAATATTTCATCTTTGACTTACTAGGTTATCATTACCCCTAGGATGAAGAGGAAAATCTCAAACTATAATCAATAATAAGAGTACAAATCTGAGCCAATCTATGTCTATATGTATATTTTAAAAAATATGATTATGTTCAATTCAAATTTGTTATTTATTTCAGTGGTTCATATTAATTTACAATATCAAATTGTTCTAATAGAGGTGAGAAAATATAGGTCTTGGATATTCTCAATTTTCTTCATTTGTGAAAGTTTCATAGTCTACTGGAATCTGCATAAATGACAACTGAAGGGAGATGCAGGCAGGCAGGGAGAAAGAGGACACCCTATGGTAACTAGCCAGATTTTAGGGAGAAAGGACATTTTTCTGAGTACTTGACCCAAAGAGAATTTTAATTAAAATAAATTAGTGTGACCAGCTAAATCCTGCTGGGTGATATACAGCTGAGTTGGAAAACAATCTAGAGAAGTTTACTCCAGACAGAACTGGTATTAAAAATCATCAGGTAAACATACAAACTAATGACATTAATACTAATTTTGCTCCAAAAAGTAGTTCTAACCAATTCAATAAATATTTCATTCTTCTTTTGCTTAATAATAAAGGTCAACTGTATCCTGTTTTGTGAGAGTTTAGCTTCTGATTTATAACAGGCTGTAAAGCTTCTGTAACCAGTGAGATGACGTAGTTTCCCAATGAGATTCACTAACCTGAGGCGGAATGTCTTGAGCCCTCTGAGAGTGCAAATAGAAGGCCTGGGCCCTGTTCTTTCTAGGATGTCAATCAAGGCAAAGGGCCAAGTGCTGCAGGAAGGACCAGACACTAGCACACGGGTCAGGCCACACCTTATTAGGGGTTGAGTTCCTTCTCCTCCATTCCTGTCCCCGCCTCCACAAGGAATTGAAAGGCAGAAACACAACAGCAAAGCAGAGGGTAAGTTTTGTTTGAATCCACTCCAAGGGAGGAGCCGGCCAGAGTCAAGATAGACAAAGGCTTCGATCCACTAGGTGGGAGGCCTACATATTGCATTCCGGCTAGGAGGTGCCTCTTTGATTGACAAGGTGGTGTTTCTTGATTGATGGGCCCACCTGTACAGCCATCCCTCTCAGTGTGCATGACGTTTTCTCCAATGAGGCGTGTTTGGGGCAGTCCTTGTTTTGTTCGACTGAGCCCATGTTGGGATCGGGTTGGGACCAGTTGGTCCCAGCAAAGCCCTCATTGTTGTCACGTGGGACTCCTACCTGGGCAGAGTTTGGGCAGTCTTCCCTTGAACCCAATCTTCCCCTTCCCCAGCTGCTCATGGCCGTCTTTCCACCTAACAGCTTGGTGGCTGTACTGTTGAAGACAGCAATGTGCTGGCGTGAGGAAGTTCCTGGCTTCCCTCAGAGATGTGGGCCCTCGGAGTTCGGCTTCCACCTGGGTCTCTGCTATAAAATGAAAAAGTTGAAATTCAAAGAAAGAGAACTTGTCCAGTAACATAATATTTATTTCTATAAAATGAGGAGAATGGACACAAAGACCCGTGAGGGCTCATCCCGGTCAGCCCCTTCCCCATGCCCCGAATCCCCACGTCCCTGTGCCCAAGGCACGGGAAGGAGGAGCAGTGCGGGCGCAGGGAGAGCGCGGAAGGAACAGGGCGCGGAGGTGTGGCGCAGTCCCCAGCCACGTGGGCTCCTGTCTACTCCGGCTCCCACCTCTGCTCTCCTGCTGCCAGTGCATCGGGCTTCCTGCTGAGCAGACATAAGGGGGTTTCCATTAGGAGAACTAGCCCACTGTTTTTGCAGGCAATGGAAAAAGGATAGGGAAT